TGGAGCAGAAGACTATACGCTGTCGGCATTTATAGAAGGATTGGGGGCGGTTAACATAAGCCCAGACCCCAGTATATATGCAGCGTCTCGCTACTATTGGGGACGTTGAAGAAAATCTTTATCAGAGCTCGAAACCCGCAAGTCGGGAAGAGCAGGCGCGTGGCCGAGACGGAAATCAATGTAATGCATACGTTTCATTGCTTGTACATAGTAGTAGTTCGCCATATGCCTATGAGGGGCTGTATAGCGCATCTATCAAGGGTGAAGTGTGGCTGGGTCAGGTATTCAGAGTACGCCGCGGCGCGCTTAAGCTCTCACCACGAGCGAGTGCACAAAGCCGCGCACGTGCCTTGACCGCCCTTCACGAAGGCGCTGGTATCATCTGGTAACAGGGGATCTCCTTTACCCAGGCCCAGTGACTTGTGCAGTTATATTACACCGACCACCAGCCCCCTAGCGCAGATGCTACGACACTGAATGATCTCACCTTTATTTCACCTCTAAAACAACAGCTCAAAACTCCCGAGTGTTCACCCGTAGGTACATATATCTTCGAATTTAAATCCGAGGTGTCAAGCAAAGTACCAACGATCACTGACAGCGAACCTTCAACTGAGCAGCCAGACTGGAGCAGTGGTACCTCTTATGTTCACTGTCAAAGAAGGGACAGCCTTATGGTATATGTATTTCATTGTTCCCTCAAAACCGAGACTTCCGAGAAATATAGGAGGTAAATAGAGAAGATACAGAACGACGTCCTCAAAGTAGACGCAGAAGACGAGACAAGCATCACTTTTAAAGTCATTATCCCCTGGCTTCAGATCCAAGAATAGAAAAAGAGACTAACGTGGGTGAAAACAAGACAAGCAATAGATAATGACAGGAAAAACAATAGAAGAAACACGTCATCTAGTTGTGTTTGCAGCGAAGGTGTTAATGATAATTCGAGTTTGGCAATTCCAAAAAGGTGCCCTTCAGAGTAGCCTTCCACTTGCAATGTTGCCCCTTTCGAATTGCTCATGAGGGAGCAAAAATACCCCTTGACTTTGCTGGCAGCATACGTCTCTTTGGGCTTCTCCGGCACTGGAAGCAATCGAAGCCGTTGGTTTCAGTCCTCACCACCTCAAAGATTGTGCATTTGGCTCCGTTGGAGCAAAGGGAGGTTCGGTTGATGTAGCTGTCACCGCAGGGGTGAATCGAGAGAGTGAAGTGGCACATTTCGCCGGATATATGTAACTGGAGGTAAGTATAGGTAGTATTGGAAGCTGTGAGATCAAGTTCTGATCTTGAGGGCTTTGATCGTGGGTCGGACTAAAGTTTCGTTTACCGAAACTGGGAGAAACCTGGAGGTGAGAGCAGACTTTTATGATAATACTATTGCTGTTTCGACGTGGTGCTGATGAGAATTCACTGTGGAAGCTACTGTATTCACTTCTTGTGTTTCCGATGGGATGCTGTTCGATGCGTCGGTGGACTAATATATTCAAGTGATATTGCGGTATGGATAGCAGCGCGGGCACTCCCAATGATGGATATGCCATGAAGGTATATATATGTTGCAGGAATTGAGTTTTGTACACCCCGCGGTGCTTCCTATGACATTATCTGCCCCGGCTCTTGCTGTTGATCATTCATAAGATTCCTGCATCCGAGACGGGATTTTCACCACCACTACCGGTTATCAATTTTTGCTGCGGTTTGGTGGATCCGGAGTGCGTTTATTTGCAGGTTGCACTGCTTCCCCAGTCGAGCAGTACCTATCGTGAGCTATCCACCGCCTGGAATTGTCTAGAGGTGCGTTAAAACCTTACCCGCTTGGATCCTTATCCGGGGAAATGAAGGAAGGATTTAGGGTGGTAGGACCTGGAATGTTTGCAGCGGCTATGTACAGCTAACTTTAATCTACCTTCTAATACTACACCTCGGCGGGTCCTTGCATGCATATATGAATTACCTCATTCCTCAGAGTGTGGATATTTGCTTTCGTCATTTGACGTGCGCATTTGGCCGGACCTGCATCTAGAGGAGGCTGCAGTTCGTCATACCGGGGACAGTGATTCCGCTGATTTCTAGAGTATCAGGCCACAGGGTTTCCGGATTCAAGATACCCCACCGAGATTTTTCACGAATACTTGAGAGAATCTGAGGTACAGTTGATAAAGCCTTGCGCCAAGGATCCTTATAAGCCCAAGCCCCTGGTTCAGCCATCTGCATATCTTACCAAATGGTATAATTATTGGCAAACGAGATGTCGACCACATCTGCCCTCGACTACTAGTACCGGTATCTGACTGCCAAATAAGGTAGAAATACGTTTGCCGGGATGGGCGTGTGGGCACGCCACGAGGAGCTGACACTGGAACACAGCAGCGACGCGCAGCGGTTCCTATGGTGGGGCTGTATTTCGGCCAACTGTAGCCGCCATGTTCATTTGGGCGAACTGTGGAGGCATAGACTATACCCACAGTTAAAACGAAATCTGCATCTGCAGCCTTGCCAACCGTCCTTGGCTCGGCACTTGATTGGGCAATCAGCTACATCCGTCGCCAGGCATTGTGTTATGCTGGGGAAAGAGACTAGATATAATCGCTGGATATTGGCCTTGTCATGATCAACTTCCGGCTCTGGCGTTATGCTTTCGGATGCAGACGCGGGCAAGGAGTTCCCATATAATGGAAGTGAATAACTTCTAGTCCTATCATGTTCTGGATGTGTTGTTGTATATCAGTCGACATACAATAAAGAGCTAGCAGTCGCACGAAGCACCATATTATTTTAATTTAAAAAAAAGGTTTTACTTATTCCCCCCTTTGAATGGATACTCATCAAAGTCCAATTGGCTGTGGCTTAATGTGATATTTCCATCTTTATGTTGAGGAACAAAGTTTGGTTTGCCAAGTTTGGTGGTAACCCTTTTTAGGGCGGCTCGTTTGGAACTTTGGCTCATTTTCACTTCCGCTTTTTTTGCAACGAGATTAGTAGAGTTGACCACCGGAGAGGCCACCAAACACAAGCCACATTGGTGATGACACAAGTCAGTCGTTTGCTTCGTTGCACACCTCTACCGAGGAGCTAGTGCATCCTATTCTACAGGCTTTGCTAGCACTCATCACGGACTCCCAGGCGGCCATTTCGAGTATTCGCAAGGCTGGGATGAGACGCCATGCGAGGACACACGACATGAGACAGATTATGGTGGGATTGGGCAAGACGGACAGGAAGGTCCATTTTGCCTGGGTCAAAGCTCATGTGGGTATAAAGGGGAATGAGAGGGCAGATGCGCTGGCGAAGCGGGGTTCGGAAGACGACGGGGTGCAAATAATCACTGAAGGAGGGGTGAGGCAGTGGTATAGGGAAAAGTGTAAAGGGGAAAGGGTGGTGACTGGTTTTGGGAAGGGGAGGGTGGTTAGGTGGGGAAGGAAGGCGATGGTGAATTACACTAGATGTCGCAGTGGTAAGGGTGACTTCGCGGTCTGGAAGCAGGTCATTGGTACGGGGAATGGAGTTACGTCCTGCAGGGACTGCGGGAGGTACGATGAGAGTGGTCATCATGTCGCTTTAGTGTGTGGCCATGGTGAATGGATTGGGCGGAGGTTTGGTTCGTTGGTTGAGATTGACGATCTGAAAAGGGTCAGGGTGAAGGGGATAGTCGACGGGAAGGAAGTTCCCCTCGACCTTGCGGAGAGTTTCTTCGGTCGCCTACGTTCGTGTTGAGCGGGGGCTTCGCGCTGGAGCAGGGGTGGTTTGGGTAGGAAGTGCAAATGTTCATAGGTAGCTAGTTTTTCTGCTCAGGGGACAGGGAGCATAGGGCCCTAGGCCCACCTGAACCTCGCCATGGGAATACCTACATGCGAGTATTGAATTTAAAAAAAAAAAAAAAAAAAAATCACGCAGAATTGACCATTAGTTGCAACATGGCTAGAGTTGACCACTAGACAGGCCACCATTGACATTTACTTAGGCCTTCACCACAGCGTGGAAGAGCAGACTACCCTGAACCGAACATCTTTTTAAAGAAATAATATAGTTAAATAGACTCTCTGTCAGTAGTATATCCAGCAATATCGTACATGACTTCTTCCCATCCAAGGCAGGTTGTTGCTCTAAATGTGCTGCCAAAGATTTTGCCGTAAGAATACAGACTATATGAGCTGCTTGATGAGAATCTTGAAACTCAGAAAAACCGTTACTTATAAGAAAATTAATACAAACCATTTCAGATTCAGGAGTTAAATATGCATTCAAATCATGATCTTTAACCATATCTAATAGATCAGTCAAAGCAGTTTGATCTGGACTCTAATCCAACCCCATGTCTAGTGTTGAAACAGATGCGCTTGGTGAGTGCAGGAGTTTAGGGTGCCCCGCTAGGTAGAGGAGTTTGCGTGCTCCTACATAAGAGGCCTGTCCGGTTGTCAACTATAGCTGCCTGTAACCATGGCCTATCTGATGGTCAATTCTGCAATGGTCAACTTAGTTGTGGCCTTTTGTTGGATTATTATTACGCGTGTCCTGAACTACAGGGATCCTGAACGATGGTCAATTTGGAATTGTTTAATACGTTCTTTATTATCTTTGTTCCCTTTGACAAGCACTGCTGTCCTTTGTTACAGCAGTCTATTTAGACCACTCAAAAGTCCTGTCTTAGCAATTCAACTACACTCAATTATCCGCTGAAATTCTACACCTTTTGATGGTCAATTCTACTAGTCTCGTTGCGCGGAAAGTGAAAGGTGAAATGAGCCAAAGTTCCAAATGAGCTGCCGTCCTTTTGTCTCCATGCATAAACAAATCTTTGGCAATTCCTTCTCTTCAAGTTCCCGTAGTTATCAGTTAAAGACCTGATTGGGATTAACAATTTATTCTTTGCCTTTGTGAAAGACAGTTATTGTACGAGGGTGTTGTGCCAACCAGACTAGTTATTTTGGGCATTGTTTGGGTATAAAAAGGCGCCTCACATATATGTATATTGAAAAATATAAAAGCACCAAAAGAAAATACACCCATCACGGGGATCGAACCCGCAGCCTTCGCCTGTGATAACCCGCTCCAGATACTACTCCAGAGAGTAAATCCTTTGCATCTTAGGAGGGCGACGCGCTACCATTGCGCCAAACGGGCTCTAGTTTTTATTCTGTGCTGCCTTATTCTGTATACCATACATCTTGCTACTCTACACAGACTAGTGCAATCCCCCCCAATAGGCTACCAGCAAGTGAAGTTTCTAAACCGAATGGCATCAGCGTCGTTTTTATCTTTTGCAGAACACTGGACCCCCATTACCTACTATGTACGTTTGTTAGAAGTCCACAAAGTAGATATGTGGGAGTTCCTTTTGTTTTGTTCTTTCAGTTTTAAAAAAAAGGAACAGCTACTAAGAAAAAACATGTTTTTATTCCCAGGTACAATTCCCAACGCGGGGGGGGGGGGGGGATTTGCGGCGGTTTCTTAGATCCAGGGGGTGGGGGGACTATAAATGTTCGGAGGCACCTCCCCGCCTCTTTGAAATTGGAATAAGTAGGGGCGTTTTTGGCTAACAGGTCGCTTTTTTTTTTTTTGCAATGGAAATTTGGCGTCTGTAGGTGCGAATGCTGGTTTAAAACATATAGGTAAAACTCTTCCAATATATACAGTACGACAATTTCAATTGCCTATGTAGTCCATGAATATGGTCATGAAGGATAAGAGTTGGCCAGTGCTTGAATATTGGCATAAAGCCCCGTATGTCTGCTATACTGAGAAGGCTCATTGAGCGCCTCGGCGGGGACGGAGTCGCCATTTTGGTGATGGTCTCAAATGCGTGCCTGTGGAGCCAGTCGACAGCGGTAACAAAGTAGCCCTGAATAGAACCAGTATTGAGATAAATACAACTATTGCACCTTGGTAATAGCCCTTCCAAGTGAATGATACTGAAAAAAACATACCTGGCGTGGCAATATGGGTCTGTCCATGTATCTGCACACATCTGCATGTGTTTATGGAACGTATTTGGAAACTTACACATCCTAACCCCGTCAATTCAACTGCTGTTAGCCTCCACGTTCTGATGGCGTTGCTATAGGATTTCCCTTCACAAAAGGGCGAATTGTGTGCGGTAGCACAAAGTGAATATTGCTATAGGACCTGTTACAGAACTCCGCAAGGCTGGCTACTCAGATCGTAGGCTTGTGGTAGTGTCAAGGATGTACACGACCACCTTTCGCCACCTATGTGAATGTTCCTAGTTGTTAACTAAACTGAGCACTACATACGTGTGTATGTATCAGTGTTATCAGGGTGCTGTGAGCAGCCAGACCATCAACCCAGGTTGACAATTTCTGCCGTTTGGCGGCCCACGGAAATTGTGCTCGGTACAACTAGCCTCAGTCCCAACGCAATTTGGTTTCAAAACAGGCAGGGACGTCGCGGCTCCTCCGCGGAGGTACTCCAGGTGGGACACAATACTGAGGTGGATTCCGGGGATCCAAAGCAGGGATAAGCTGAATCTCCGAGTGGCGAAGCTGGACCTACGCCGAGTACAATTATGGTCGGACGGATCCAAGCAGGAGGAAGCGACAGCTGGAGCAGTAGTGGGAGAACACCTAAAGCAGAGGGAATAAACTTAGGAACCCTTGCAACGGTGATGCGCGCGGAGCTCTTGGGGGCGGAAATCAAAGCAGTTGAGTTGCGACTGCCTGGCCCTGAGGGACCTAACATACACCTTGACGGACCGAGACTCGCAAAGGGGATGGTTGCATGAGGAGGACCCACGATGCGCCCTATAATACAGCTCAGCTGCGAGGGGAGAGCAGTAGACACCAAGAGGACATCTGGGAGGATCCGGAGTGGTGCAAGGAGATGGCAGGGGCCCTCACGGCGTAGGGAAGGGGGCCTGGTGGATAGGTTTTTCCTTGTGTGGTTAGTTCGGTTTGATCATTTACAAAAAAAATAAAAATAAAAATAATAAAAAAAATTCTCCAAGGTTACCCTCAACTGCCCCCCTCTCAGCGGTTATGAGAACCCTCCACCACTCGGCTCGCACTAGTCTGGTAGCAGGATACTTATGAGTAATGCTACTTGGCTGGCTTGGCCGGCACCTTGTTTCATGCCAACTACAGGAACCTGCTCAGCTATAACGAAGGCCAAGATTCTGACCCATTTCCTCCAAGTTTTGCTATAACAAGATGTCACGTACCGAAGAGGGGTAAAGATACGAAGTAAGAAAGATAGGATGTAGTCAATTTGTGTTCTTTCTGCTTCAGCTCGATAATATTGCAACATGCCTCCTCACCGCCGATATGAGCGTACTGCCTTAAAAAAATGGCAGATAGGTTCAAGGACAGCGGCCTGGAGAGATGCAATATATAGAGGCACACAAGAAACAAAATACGCTCGACAATTGGCTGCAACTCGTCACTTTCTTAGTTCTTTACTTTGTACATAGTTAGATGTAGCGCATCACTAGTTTCACTATAGCCAATATAGTTTCGCTAGTCTGGCTATGGCTTGCACTAGCCCCTCGCAAGCCAGACTATAGTTTCGCCTATGATTTAATTTATTAGGCACGGCATTCTCTTCAATTTCGTTATACCGATTAGTTTCACTATAGCCAGGGTACCTTACCTGCGTGCAGGAACGGTCTTACAAATCCCTTCCGTACAGCCGGGTTTTCACTATGTCGAGGTTCACTATAGCCAGATTTGCCTGTAGACTAGAAACAAGCTAGATAATCTGGTTGGCATTGTTCTAGCCCGAAGACTTGTGATTGGTTGTCCTAGGTCTAGAATGCTCTTCTTGGCGAAATCTTAGGTTAAAGGAGAACTGTAAATTTAAACGCCCAATATTCTAGACTCAAAAACCCTAGCTTTCCTCCTACTCATACTTTCCACTTCCAAACGTCGCTTAACACAGTTCTCTTCCAGTGTAGTTTCGACACCTGACTGAACAAGATCCATGCAGTTCCTCAAACACATAGGTGTAGCCCTCTCATGACCGCTGTGCCAACATCCATGCTATGCTCGTCGGATTTTTTTCTACCCTCAAAAGTTCATATGTGGTACCTCTGTTCTGCTGTTTAAAGCCCAATACAATATATGTACTCAATAGCCTATTCGAGAGATACGTATTAGTATAACCTCCTTCGCCGTGTCCCTCTAAAACTTAGCCTATAAAAGAGGAGATCGAGTCTCAATGCCCCCGCAATTCCCACACAGATGGTCAACATCTGATAACAATAGTATAGTCCCCGATCGTACTCAGAGTACGCTAGTGAAAGCATGCTCCTAGCACCCCAGCTACCTGGAACTTGAATAAAGACACCCGCTGTTGAACGCAAACTTGTCAAATATGTGGGTGTACAGGTTTGCGCTCAGCCCAATTGTGAGAGTGGCAGCGAAACCATTGATTCAGGTGGAGTATGCCAGATATGCTTGCAAGCATACCCTGCACCGTAACCTAGAGACCCGACGGCAAACATAAGTATACATTGCCGGAGCGGAGACTAGGGAAAAAGTATTTGTTGGTACATTGAACCCTTCGGTTTACGAAGAGAGAGAGAGACTCCCCTTGATATAAATGCCATAGGCTACAATATAGAGAGGCACACATAAGAGAAGCCAGAAATGGTTCAGATGGATCTTTCCTTCTGGCATACACACCTCTTTACTAGGCTTTCTCTCGAACCAGTGCCTAACGCGTTACAAAGGTCATGCCAATAATCAATAATGCCAAATAGACGACGGTATAGCATAACCGCACTGCGCCCGAAATAATATTTTAACCATAATTTCAACGATGGTGTCTGTGACGGCGTAGTCGGGTAACAGAGCTACTGGAGCTGAGAGATGAGTGTGCTATAACAGAAATATGGTGCCAAAGCTGTAGCCACGATTGAGATGATTAAACATTCTATCACCTCGTACGTCCACTGAGATTTTGCACAATGGTTAGCCTTTATACCAAATACCTAGATTGTACTGTGTACCCAGAGAGTTTCAAACCTATTTGCTATAAGCCTAAGCAGACCCGGGATGAGGCCTAACGCTCCACTCATCAGGGCATGTTTCCATGTACCATGGAAAAACGTTACCGCACTCGACATAGCAACAAATGGATAGCTAAGCGCAATAGCCCACTCGGGAGTCTCCTTCGCTTGTTCTTCGGTAGATCGAAGGGTCTCAAGCCTACTTCTGATCTCGTCGCAACTGATGCCATTCCTAAATAAATCTTTGACAAGGTCATATACCTGGGGTAACTTGTGGATATTCATTGACCCCCGCTTTTTGATAAGGTAGAATTGCGAAAGTCCGCTGACATTACCGCTACTGGAGAGCGATACAACTGAGAACGTTGGAAGATAGTAGAAGGCGGTTTGTGTTCATAGTGCGCTACCAATTGCAGAAACAATGGCCTCGATCTTGTGAGATGGTGCTCCATAGTCCAGTAAGGACGTAGCAAGTTCCACAATAACGTTGTGATGCGTCCAGGGTTCCTCCGAAGTTTGTCTTAAGGTTGTTGTTGTCCTTTGAGAAGAGCGCAATGTGATGACATTGCTCCTAACTTCGGATTACCTCTTCCTCTGCTATCTTGCATTTTTTCTTGCCCCGAGCCCGCTGACATAGCTGCACCAGTTGGCTGTCAACCCAGAGAGCTGTTGGCACGTTACATGAGCCAGCGCTTCCAGATCACTGAGGACTTGAAGAAAGTTAGCTGTGAAGGCATAGATTATCTAAATCCAATAAGCAAAGCTCGGAGCCTCAAACGTACCATGCTCCCGAGGCTGCCCAGTCCACACTTCCATTTCGAACCTGTGATATATTATACAATATCAATGTTATTATAATATTGCAATTAAAGCAAAGATCCTAGGAATATGAGTGAAAAGAAACGCAAGCAACTTCCTCTGGGCTCAAAGATATAGGAAGAGCATGCCTCAACATTTCCCCGACGACTAGTCATGGTCACGCACCTTGCCCACTGCTTCTTGAAGTTCTTCATCAGAGCTCATGCACGATTTCCTAGCCTGAAACCTTACGCATCTGGTCCACATCCTTCTTGGTGGACAGGTGATGATGGACCAATGTAACTCAATTTTGAGGCTAGGGTTGGCACTGGGAAAAGGTACATACAAGCATCAATAAGCT